GAGTTATCCGAGACGTCGACGCTCGGGCGCCGATCGTAGGGGAAGAGTAGTGTACGAAGGAATGCACTCGAGTTCGTTCGTGTTTATCGTAGGTAGGAAGGCGGGTAGTAAATTCGGCAAAGGGAAATCTCTCGCGATAGGTTCTATCGAAGTAGCATAAGGAATCGAGCATATGCAGGACGTTACACAAATTTTAAGGGAGAACTTAGTATAAGGGAAGAATGTGGGAGGGAAAAAATAGAAGCTAAATATTAATAAACTCGGGACTTATAAATTGTTATTAGTATAAGATATGTGTTAACAGGCTCTAGCTAAGTATAACTATGCGGAACTATAACGATTCGCAGCCTTTAAACGGCGTCTATAACATATAATCCTTCTTTACATAGCTATTAAGACTCGCATGCTTATAAAATTTGCGAATACACCCTAACCGAGGGCAGATTATAGTCGATCGTCGCTATCCCGATTTCCTTAGAGGTAGCTTCCTATAGGAAGACCGTCTTCCTACGGGGCGCTCGACGCTAATGCGTACCTAGTGATTTTCTCGAATTATAGGACTACTATATAGTAGCTCCTCTTCTACGTCTAGACCTATATAGGCGAAGGTCGACCTAGCTTCGGAATCGCAATCCGAAAAGTTCGCCGCGTATGCTAATAAGTTGCTAAGAGATACGTCGGTAACTATTATCTACCGTAGCTCGATTATACGCTCGGGGGTGTTTACGCCAAATAACGAGATTCTAGAAACGAGTTCGTAACTATCCTCGCCGGTATCTAGGTAGCTATCGCTATCTTTAGCATCCTAGGCAGCTTTAACAAGGTTGCCCTTATTACGGTTAGATAGAATATAGGCATTACTTCGCGTATACGCCTTCCTCGGTACTATTCTTAAAATAGTCGGGCTATCGCTTCTTATAGAATCGTCGCTCGACTCGTTATCGGACACCGATGCTATTACTTAGGATAAGCCGGGCTAATTAGTCTTATAGGTAGTAATCCTATAATAGATATTAGCATACTTCGAGAAGTTAGTAGGAGATAGTGTCTCCTTACTATAGAGAGGGTAGGGGCACACTACGGGCTAAAGTTTCACCTTTTCGAGATGCTTAGATATGTGCTTATAAAGCTTAGAAAAGCGCGGAAATTAATAGTATCTCTTCGCTAGTGTTTTAGTCTCGTCTCCGAGATAGAATAGGCATAGCGCGGCTACGATAACTACGGCTCTCTAGCCGACCTACCCGTAGAAATGATCGAGAGCTTCTAGGTAGCCGCGGTAATGCTCGTTCTAATCTAGTTTAGAGTAATAATATACACGGTACTTAAAGCAGTACTCTACTCGAGGTAGCTAAGTATTAGGAAGTAGCAGCTTATAGTCGTCTAGAAGGTGTTTCTTTAGTAGGCTTACGTTAACGAACTCGGCGTTATAAATATCCCACCTATAGCTGTTTCGTAATAAACGGATATAGTAGGCGAGATAATTCGCCCGTAATTCCCGCGAGCGGCCGGATAGCGCAGGTCTTTTATATGCGACCTAACGACAGCTCGGCTCGTTATCTATAAGATCACCTTGTAGCTTTTCGTACTGCTTAGTAGCTTCCTTAGCGAGATAACACCTAAGAAAGTAGAGGTTACTAGAGCGAACGTCTTTATGTTAGGAACTATTAGGGTTAGTTAAAAACATGTATAGAGAAATAATAAGCACTTACTCCGTTAGCTACTAGCTATATAGCGAACACGTAATTTTCCCTTCGAATTCGGTGTAGCTAGCGTATAGGTAGTGCTATTTAATCCGTTTAGGCGCGGCTATCGAGATTAGAGGCTTAAGCACGTCCTCGAGCTTAGCTCTACCCTCTACGGGATAATAGAATAGCTATATAACGTTAGCTCGCGCAACATTATGCCGAGTATAGGCCCGGAAGGCTCGGCTAGAAGGTGGACGTTACGACTAGGGCTCTAGGATTAAATCTGTAGCCTTAGGAACTGGTTTTGCCTATAATAGGAGGCATTATCTAGCCTCTAAGTACATTTTTTTTTCCTCTAGGTACTACGCTCGATGCCGCCGGCCCTTAGATATATCCGTAAAGCGTAAGCCGAGCGGGCGCGGAGTCTATAAATCTAATCGCTTAGACATCGAAGTTAAGAACTCTATTATCTCTTCGTCCGGCGGACGCTCGTATATTATCGCCTATATATCGACACTAGATACGGAAGACAGGTAGTGTTAGAAGGTGTTATCGCTTGTATAACCTATACGTTGTCTACGAACAGCGGAGGTAATAGTTTCTATAGGCCTATTAGCCCGCTCTTAACATTAGACCCTCTTTTAGGACTTACTGTTTAGTATATTGCTATACCCCCGGCGTAGAGCATACGGAGTAAAACGATCCTCGTAACCTGCCCGCTCTCCTAGGTCCGTTATTAGTGTACTAATATAGTAGGCAAGTATAATTCTTATAGGCGATATTGCTCTATTACGCTATAGACTACGGAGAAGGGGAACCTCTACTATTTCCGGTCGGATGCTAATTATAAAGTTAGTATTAACTAGCGGATTAATTCGCTTAAAGTTAGCTAAGGTTCGAATCCCTTAGAGAGCATTATCGGTAATCGCGAGTGCTAACGTCTAGATAATAGGGTAGAGGTGCGGTTCTCTCTTGTCCTCTAGAAGGGGCAGCTCTAAGCTGCTTATAATTAGACTCGGTCGTGCCTATATATAATAGCCGTATCTTACTCGTATTTCTCTTGCTCTCGGCGAAATTTCTAATTTCTAATCTTAAATAAAACCGCTACGCGACGCTCGCCCTTTCGATTAATAACGTACACCGTTAGATCTTTATATAATATCCCTTCGTTAGAGCCGACGTACGTAGAGCTCTCGAGAAGCTCGCCCGGCCGGATTCTAAGGTAGAACAAGATTAGCATTAATACTAATAGCTATAGCCTAATTCGCGGATGCTCGAGCTCCTTCTCGTCTAAAGCCTATAGGAAATAGAGCATATCGAACACTATAGCTAGGCCTACGACTAGGCGATTACGGACCTTCTACGAAGCGCCTTTTTAAACAAGCCTAATTTAAATTACTCTATTAATTTTCTTAATAGTCTTCGCCGATACCCTAAAGTTGCTACGTTCGTAGATAAGACGTACGAGTAAGCCGAACTATTTCTTAAGGGTAACCGTACTAAGCTTTACGCTAATTATGCTAGCTTTAGTCGCGAGTAGCTACTAGAGAAATGCTATAAATTCACCTTCGCTTAGTGCGCTTAGGAACGGTCTTTCGACGTCGACTTTACGCCCGAGGAACTTATAGAAGGCCACCTAGTCGCGCGATGTCCTAGCTATAGCGTTAAGGTAGTACTACTTAGAGGTGTCCTACGTTATTAGYTAGAAGTCGCTAGATATATTAGCTAATGCTCGAATTTCTTCTAGGGCATTATCTATAGTAGTAGTAGGCTTACTAATAAGATAATGCGGAGTGCTTTAGTAATAGGAGACTAAGAGATCGAACAAATAGACGGTAGGTAGCGAGAGGAGACGATATAGTTAGAAGATTTAGCGGCTAAGTACTAACGTCTATACGCTTACTAAATGTGCTACGCCTAGGTACCGGCATCGCTATCGCTTAGTAATAGGATATAACGAGCTTAGTAGACTAGCGAGGGGGAGCCCTCTCGATACTATATAGTAATACGTAGAGCGTAGACTATCGGGTAACCGCTAGAGGGAAGTCGGAAAGTAGAATCTAGTGCTAGTATATCGGACTTCGGACACCCTAAGGTCCGCTATACGTCGGCACTAGCTATAGTAGTATCGAGTTACGTGCGGGCGGGCCCTTTAATAATAATCTCGCTCTGATTTTTATCGGGACGTAGAGGGTAGAAAGCAAGCTATCCTATCCGCTCTAGCCTATTAAACTATATAATCGTTTAATTAGTACTTAGGTGGGTGATTACTAGGGAATCCCAAATGTTAAATGTACAATTTCTCTTTTTGGCTTTTTGGCTTTTGCTGCGTAGGTCCCTCGTAAAGTAATTACTACGTAATAGCATTGTAGTAATTTTGGCTTTTTGGCTTTTGCTGCGTAGGTCTCCCAAGGAGAAAACTAGGTGAAAGCATCGTAGTAAGCATCATTAGCGACACATGATGTCTTGATAGTGACCTCGTCTCAAACGCGGCCATTCTGAACATGGACGGCATCGTATCAATAAAGAATGAAGGCTTAAGAAATGATTGATGTTCTCTGCTCAAATGTGCACGATTTTGTTAAGCAACGCCAGATGGAGCACTATGGCCACCACTGGCTCACGGGCTACACAACATCCCTCGCTCGCTGAAACATAGCTTCTGCGAAAACACATCCCTCATTGTAGGATGTTATCGCAGAATGTCGTCAAAGAATGTCATCGCATAGTCCGTGTGTTACTATGAGGAGACATGTACAGGAGATGCGAATGAATGGATCAAGGTCTCATGTTGGTCACCGTGCCTTGTGCAGAAAAAAACAGTGCTCAATGAAATGGCTTGACTATGCCCACAAGCCGAGAGGTATGGTCCCAGGCCAGAAACCCCTGATTTTAGTATCACGGTCCGTGAACGAAAAAACTTCCTACACACTGTGGTGAAGGTCACTGATTCCTTGCACTATCGTCGATGAACGTGCAACCTTCCAAGCTCCAGTTGAGCGACGATTCCACGTGAGAACTCTCTTTTAGATTTTTCCAGAGTCCTCCTCACCCTCACCCTCGGAACCAGAGGAGCAAGAGTTAGCTGGTACTCCTCGTCCTTGATCAGTGAGAGGCAAAGTACCTTATTCCCGACTTCGTATCCCAAGACTAAGCAAACATCCTCCTCAACTTGTCCTTGTCGTCGTCGCTAAGCTTCTCATCGTCCTTGAGGTAGAGCGAGGCGAATGGATACAGCGCGGTCATCGTTGAGAGGTTAGGTTAGGTTTACTTTGGGAATGTGTTGATGAAATTGGTTTTCAATTTCGTGCTTTGCTAATAGATGTCCTTGTCACTTTCGTCAGCAGGCTGGACAACAGCTTTCCAGTGTCGAAAACTGGACCTGAAGAATGCTCCCCCCCGCCTGCGATTTCTCTCCTCCAAGACTTGCGGTACATGCTCAGCAGAGTCAGGTAAACGTACAGGCAAGGGCAGATATCCCTCTCTGCCAAGGAACTCCAAGCTCTTTACCACGGCCAGTTCCAGCCCCTTATGTGTATCCATCTCCTCCCGACAGGCACCGCTCCCGTGTTTTCCTTTCCGTGGCGTATCTTCGACCTCCAGCATATACTGCAGTGGCCACAGCGGGTGCTCTTCCTTGGTTGCGTTGATGGCCTGACGTACAGCAGCAGTCCACTCTTTTCTGGTGGCAGGTTGAAGTCTGTAGCCCATGTCACTCAGGATGGTCCAGAAACGGCTCCATAGCATCCCATCGGCGGCCTGCGTCACGATTGGCTGTGAATGGAGCGACAGCGCATTTCGAATGATGATCCGCGCCGTGGTTGCGGCATCCGTTAGGGGAATCCATGTGTCGGCCTCATCGGCGTTGTACATGCCAATGCTGATGCTAGCTGCCACGAGCCGCCATATGTAGTCATCGGCATTCGCAACGCCTTCTGCTGGCGTCCCAATCACGCATCCGGGACTTACTACTGAGATGCGCCGAGTGTTCATCCACGAGCTAGACAGAGCCGCCGCCCTTTTGACCACAGCCTCGGCCACAAACTTTGTCTGGCTGTAGCCCAGAGCATCCGAGGTAGACAACTCTTCCACCACATCCTGCTCCTGCTCCTGCTCCTCATCCCCTGTGGCTTCTCGGCCGCCGGTTACGTAGACAAAAGCCATACCGGGCACGGCAATGGCGAGACGGAGCAGCTCCATCGTGGAACTGACATTGACAGCTTCCAAGGCCTGGTAGCTCATCCCCCAATGCACTGTTGCGCCGCAATGAATCACCACATCAACTGTAGCACCGTCGAAAAGCGCTGTCCAACGAGATGAGTCGAGTCCAAGCTGCGGCATTCCGAGGTCGCCTGCCCAGACGCAAAGCTTCGACTGGTGCGACCCGGTCCACCAAAGAGCTTTCACTGCAGCATCAATGGTGCGTCTACTGGCTTCCTCATCCGTCTTGCCGCGCACGAGGGCAATGACCCTAGCCACACGACTGTCCTCGATGAGCTGGCGTAAGATTTGTGTGCCGAGGAAACCGTTGCCGCCCGTCAGAAAGACAGACACCAGCTTATCCGAGTTGTGCTCTCGCTCATCGTCACTTTCGCGCACACTGGAGGACGACTCTGCCTGGAGAGTCGCTGCTTGTTGCTCAGCCACGATCCTGGAGGAATGGCCATCTATCTCGGCAAGGAGGTCAACCGGGGCTATCATAGGTCTGCATAGCGCTTCAGGCTGTTCGACTGACGTAGCGGTAGCCCGTAAATCGCATATCGCTCTAGCCAAACGCCGTATGCTCGTGGTCCTATCCATCAATAGTGGGATACCTACCTTGACTTGGAACTGCTGTTGGATAAAGTACACCAAGGACATCATGTTGATCGAGTCAAGGCTGCATGAATGCAAAAGGGCATCGGGGAAGCTCGCGGTTGTGAGGTCGGCCCGCAAGTCTTCCCGACCTGAATACTGCCCCTTCGCCGAGAAAACCCATTTGGCCAATGCATGGGCTGGCTGTTCAGTCTCCAAAATACATCCATTGCTGTTGCCAGCGAGCGTGGTGTCGCCACTAGTCCCGTTACTTATTCCCGTCTCCCGACCCTCTTGAGCGGCGAGTGCCGCGCCGATTTCACGTAATCGCTTGCGGTCTGTCTTACCGGCAACCGTCAGAGGCAGTGTTCTCATGGTGAAGAAAAGGGTTGGGATCATGTAAGTCGGCAGGGAAAAAGCCATCATATCTCGGACCGAGTCAGGGAGGAGGAACTCTTTGGCTTGCAAAGTACCTTCTGGGTTGCCCTGTGCAGTACTGTCGCCCTTGCTGTCTTCATGAACAAATGCTGCCAGTGCGAGCCCGCCACTCTTGCTATTCAGATTGATGAGTTCCGCGACAACACCGGTCGCTTCTGGAAAGTATTCTCTCAGGCGGTGCTCAACCTCACCAAGCTCTACTCGTTGACCGCGGATCTTCACCTGTGTGTCTTTTCTCCCAACAAAGCTGAGGTTGCCGTCTTCGTTGCTGTACCGAACAAGGTCGCCTGTCCGATAAAGTCGCCCACGGCGACCTGGTGCACCTCCCGGTCCGCCTCGAAGCAACCAAGATGGGTCCTCGATAAAGGCTGTAGCGGTCCTCTTCGGGTCGTCCAGGTAGCCTAAGCCAACGAGCGGTCCTTCAAGTAGCAGCTCGCCTACGCATCCTGTCGGAGTCAAAAGATTATAATTGCTAGGATCTACAATCCAGGTTACTAGCCCGATACCGATCCCTATCCGAGTGGCCTGTTCTGGACACGACGCATTTTTGTTCATCGTACTCGTCGCGGTACATTCGGATGGACCATAGACATTAATAACTCGTCGAACCTTGTCCCACCAAGGTTTAATAGCTTGGACTGGTATAGCTTCACCAGACAGGATTACTGTCTGCACGTCGGGAACATCCTCCGGAAGGAGCAGCTGGGCAACAGAAGGCGTAAGATCAATTACGTTGGCGTGCAAGGAGACGATACTCTGTCTCAAGTTCTCCTTCCGATCCGATTCACTTGGGACACATAAACAGCCGCCCGCAGCAAGTGTTATCAGAGTGGTGTAAATGGATGCATCGAAGCTATACGACGAGAAGTCATATACTCTTGACTTTGGCGTGAAACCAAAGTGTTCCAACTGGTAACGAATGGCCGAGGCGACATTTTGGTGACTTATCACCACCCCTTTCGGCACGCCCGTCGTACCAGACGTAAAAGTCACGTAGAGAATGGCCTGCGGGCTTCTGACGTTTGCGGTCATTGTATTGCGTTCAGCATCGCTGCATTCATCTTTGAAGAATGCAGGACTGACAGCAACCACTTGTGGTGCCAGTCTCGAGCCAAGTGCCTTGCAAGAGCTTGACGAGAGGATCATGCTCGCCTGGATTTGTTTGCATATTGCTTGGAGCCGTTGTCGGGGAAGGGACGGGTCCAACAAAACAAAAGCCTTGCCCAGTTTGATGACACCAAGGATTGCCACCGTTGTCCACATCGACTTCTCGAAGCATAATGGGATGAACATGCCGATACCATCGAAGCTGCTGAGATGAGTGGCGAGCCTGGCTGCCAGCCGGTCTAGTTCGCCGTACGTCAGCTGCCCGTCCCAAGCGCAGGCGGCTATAGCCCCGGGTTGACTCCGTGTCCGCTCCTCGACCAATTCATCAATACAGCACTCAACCGCAGTTGGCACAGCGCCGTTTCTTGCCCATATCTCAGTCAGATCACCTTGCGTGACCAAGCTGACTTCTGTCAACAGCTGATGGGGCTTCGCGTCTTCCAGTTGGTGTAGCACGGCCCCGAGCCGCTCCATCAGCTTCGAAACAGTCCACTGCTCGAGCAACTCGCTGTCAAAGTGAGTTGACACGACAATACTGTGTGCTTCGATCTGCACCTCAATCTCCAAGATATACGTGCCCCCAAACTCCTTTTGGGAGTCTTTCCACCTCCCGACCGAATGCCGCTGCTCGGAGTCCTCTTCCTCTTCCCTTTTCTCCGGCTGGATCACTAGCAAGGTCTGGAACATGCAGGCCCGACGCCCATCAGAATTGATCCGAGCGATACGCTGCAACCCAGCCTGCTCGAAAGGCATCATTTCCATCGATTGCTTCTGCACTTGTTGCAGATATTCCCAAACGGTGGTCTGGCCCTTGGGCAACTTGATACTGATCGGGACTGTTGCGATTGTCGGTGCGATTATGTCGTCGATGCGGTCAACAGGCGCAGTCCTGCCCGACACAACGCAGCCGAACACGACGTCGCTCGAGTCGGTCATGCTGCTGGTTACCAATGCCCATGCGGCTCGGATCATGTTCGACATGGTGACTCCGAGACACTGGGACGTCCATTTCCGCGATCGGGGGATCCGCCGCTCCAGGACACTGTCCGTCACTGGCTGCTCCATGTCGGCGCGGAGAGTCGGAAACATTGAGCTTTCCGAGCAACCGCTCAAGGAACGTCGCCAATATTCCATGACCGCTTCATCGTCTTGTTCTCTGACATATTTGATGAAAGCTTTGAACTGTTGCCGAGGCGGAAGTCCCTCGCCACAATATGCTTGCTCGACCGATTTCAAGATGAGAGGGAGTGACCATCCATCATACAGCGCATGATGGATTGTCCACACCAACCACCTCGGAACTCCGCCGTCATCCTTGACGAGAGCAAACCTGGTCAGTGGCTGGCCAATTTCCATCGGTCGTGTCCTGTCCAAGCGGAGATGCTCGTTCAAGCCAGTGGAGACGTCAACCCATTGGATTGCTTCGTCCAAGACAACCTGCACAAAGCCGAGACGAGCGTGGTGCACAACCCTTGTCCGTAAAATGTCCGTGGCTTGGACTGTCACTTCCCATGCCTTTTGGAGCTTGAAGAGACAGATGTCGGCAGATAATTCCRGCGTGTACTGTAAGATGTAATCCTCGGGTCGTTTGRATGTTAGCGATAAAAGGCCTTCCTGAAGCATTGTGCACGGATAGATGTCTTGAATAGCGCTAGGATGGGAGCTGCATTGCGCTGACACTTCCTCGAGCAGGGACGGAACGTGAACGTCATTGCCCAAGAGGGAAAAGGGTGGAATGGTGTCCAACTCGCAGTCGAGTGACTTTGCTTTACAGCAGCTAGCTAGATGCTGTAGCAATGGGTTGCGGAAAATATCGTCCACCGTCAGGCTGAATCCCATCTTGCCGACGTTACACACAATTTGCATCGCGCTGAGGGAGTCTCCACCGAGCTCAAAGAAATTGTCCTCCAGCCCAATGGCGGCAACCTGGAGATGAAGTACCTGGCTCCATGTTCGTTGCAAAATCAGTTGTGCTTGTGTTGACGGCTGCCTCTTTGTGTCCCTGCATGTCATTTGTCTGTCGACTTTCTCATCACAGAGTCTATGACGATCAATCTTGCCATGTCTGTTCAGTGGCATTTGGTCCAGCACTACGATCACACTGGGAATCATATAGGCGGGCAATTTGTCGCGTAGCTCGGCCAGTATGCGTTCGGCGGCTTTCGCTCTGCTCTGTGGCCCCTGGGAGGAGTCTGAACGGTGAACCACATTGGCGGCATCCTCGACAGAATTTTTACTGACTGGCATATTCGGAATATCGCCCAGCTCGACGACACAATGGCCCCAAATCCCCGGATTTTGGCCTGTATACGTATCTGTTCTTCCGAAAAACTCTACCGGCAGAGCCCTACTGGCAGTTTGTTTGCGGCACGATCAATGGCAGACGCAAGGCTTGCAATGCAAGGAGACTGTCGTTATCTCTTGCTTAGCTTTGCGGACCGTGAGAATGCGACTTGAAATCCTGGCCGTCGTTGGTCTGCGTCATTTCGTAGAATGAAGGTTTGTCAGAACTTTACCACACTGAACCAAAAATAATTCGGCATACGGCGATGGATGTATTTGGCGGTGAAAAGTAAAAGTACGGTAGTAGTGGGGCCATGTCGCCCTCAATAGGTAGTCTTGCAATGTCTAAATGAAGGCTAGTAGAGTCTTGCCTTGGCAAAAGCATGTAGCAAAAGCCATGTCACCCCATAGGTAGCTTGTAATGTCTAAACGAAGATTAGCGGCAAAAGCAAGTACCTTCGCTTAGGTGTCCCTCTACTTGTCAAAATTTCGACCAATCTCGTTGTATACCGACTTCGGCCAAAATGGGATAGTGTCTCGAGTAGATGACGTGGTAGGAGTTCATGACCTCCGAGGTGCATAACCTCATGTCCCCCCCCCCAATAGGAAAGACAGCGGAGGTCTCGACTTGCCTCCAAGACGCGGGTGGAATGAATGTACACGACACTACTCCGGATTTCGGATGGATCTATCTCGACCGCTCCGAAGTTGCATATGTAGCTAAACTACGCCCCGCCGGACCCTAGGAAGTTGCATATGTAGCTAAAATAGTTCTTGGCACGGATGTACATCCACTCGAGTAGATTTATTCGCCCCATCACTACGCGTGTTACAAATATGAGGTGATTCGCCTGACCGGCGATATTGCCAGTCGAGAGGCTTGGGCGATGAATGCACTCGCACCGGACGAATGGGACCTATCTTCTTCGTGAATCCAATAGTTTCACATTTCTAGTTGTACAGCCTGAATCTACTAAACCCATGCTAACGAGAGGCAGATAGGCTCACTAATCTCAGCCGTGTTGACTTCCGCCAGCCGCTTTTCCGTTTTTCTTGTGACCGAAGATGTGACACGGCTCGTCTAACTTCATACTCCTCAATCTCACCCCCTACATCGCGCATGTGGCTTTGAGTAGGTGCGGCGGGCATTTGTAGAGGAAATCGAGCCGGTAAGGCCACAGCACGTAACCCTAGTGCAGCCGCAGGAGACTATTCAAGATGACAGCGCTGCGGTTGTGGTCAGAAGAATTGCGTTAGAGATGAATGGAATAATGAAATGTGTCGGAAGACTTGTAGCTTCCGGTCTCCCTTTTTTTAGATCTATATATCCAGCGTGTGGATGAGTCATGACTGTCATGGTTGAGCATCTGGCACTTACAGCCAAAGGACAGTCCATAGGCAAAGAGCCCACATCACCAACAACAAGAAGTCAATCTATCTTCTGGCACATACCTAGCTGGACAAATGCTCGCCTCAGCTGTAGCTCCATTACAGAGTTATCTGCTCGATCTACGGACTTTGGCACTCGTCAGTCTCGCCCTCGGTATCGCAGTCATCTATACATGGTTCGTGCGTCCTCTACTACATGGGCCGCTATGTCTTGTCCCTGGTCCATGGTATTGCAAGATCTCGAATATCCCCCTGAGCTTCTACGACCTATCTTTCTGCCGGAACGACCAAATCCATAAGTGGCATCAAAAGTACGGCCCAATCGTCTGCATTGCACCCAACCAGGTTTCGATAGCGAGCTTGCAAGGCACCAAGGACACGTACGGAGCGACACAGCGATGGGCCAAGAGCAACTACTTTGATCACTTCAAGGGGTTCAATATGCGGTCTGTGTTTGCGACGAAAGCTTACGAGGAGCACCGCACAAAGCGCAAATATACGTCCACTTTCTATCAGTCCCCCGCCATCTACAAACTACCCGAGATCGAACAGCACGTCAAATCTAACTCCTTGGCTGTTCTGGATCAGATTCGACTGGGCCAGGAGATCGATGTCTACAGCTTGACAAACTGGTACGCGCTCGACAACATTACCTTCTTGGCCCTGGGACCAAACCACGGAACCCAGTCCGTTGGGCAAGCTTGCGTGGAACGTGACATCCTCAGGGATCTGAAATACCAACAATTCTTCGGTCCCTTTCGTTTCAGGTATCCCAACGTCTACCTTTTGCTCTCCAAGTTCCTCGAGGCGCTGAGTTCTCGATTCAGTTATCTCTTGGCGCATGAACGGTTGGAAGCCTGGTGCAGAGAGCGGTTTTTCACAGCGCTAAACGATCCCCTTACGTTCCAATCACATTCCCTCATTCGGCACATTCTGAGGACGGAAGAGCATCACGTAGACAAGATCGAGATCGATCCGCAGTATGTGGCCGCCGAGATCCTCGACAACATCAACGCTGCGGAGGCTACAGTTGCGGTGACTGCCACGTATCTCATATGGAGGCTGACAGAGGCCCCAGCATGGCAGAGGAAGATCCGGACAGAGTTGATTTCGATCCCCAAGCAACAAAACGGGAGCCTTGCCTTTTCTGATGTCGACAGTCAGGCTCCATCATTGGAAGCTTGCTTGCGGGAGGCATACCGCCTCCACCCGGCGTCCAGCGGCCGATCCGAGCGGGTTGTCCCCTCAGGGGGTCACAACTTCTCCGGGGTGTATGTTCATGAAGGTACCATTGTTGCAAACTCTGTCACGGCTCTGCACCACAATAAAGACGTATTTCCAGAGCCCGAGTGCTTCGCTCCGGAGCGATGGCTTGGGGAGGACAAAGAGGCGTGGAAGCTGCGCGACGCCTATCTGATTCCGTTTGGGTACGGTGGAAGGGTTTGCCTGGGAAAGGCGTTGGCTACATTGGAACTGAAGATGCTCATTGCATCTTTGTATCTCGAGTTGGAGAGTTTTGGCACCTTGTCGACGAATCCTGCCTCAATGAAGCAGTGCAGCACCCATGATGCTGTGCCTCGGGCTCTGCAATGCATGGTTCGATTCGAAAGGGCTCAGAACTGACTGAATTGTACTCTGTGGAGCCATCTGTCCTCAGAAGCTCTTGTCTTTTTTTTATTTTATTTTGGCGGCTGGAATTGAGCAGCCAGTCCATCCAGTGTTTCTCAACCACGTTATTATATGCGGGGCGCTCGCTGTCTTTCTCGACCTTACCCCCGCTGAGCTGCTCAATAGAACGTAGCGTGTCCTGCATGGCGAGGCCTGTGGATCCACTGGGACCTAATCTATCCCAATTGCAACCAGACCAGCTTCCGTCTAATCTTGCCGTCTCTAGGTTCACCTGCTTCTCCTCCGCCTCCCACCTCCAACTCTCACGTTTGTACTGCCCATTTGTACCTATACACGACACGGCTTTCGCAATACTTTGCCCTCTTTTCTCAGAGGTTTGATCAATGGATTATCAACGGATGCTCATAGAGAAAGAGGCTCCTGAAGAAGTCGGCATTGTGATCAAGTACAATCTGTCTGAGAGTGCCGTCTCCGACCAGACTCTGGACTCTCTAAACATCAGCATCCAATCGAGCTCCGTCCTCACATACACGGAGCACAAGGGAAGCCACAAGATCCGCTCCATCATTGCCCGTGGTTATGGTGATCCCATCACCGCCGATGATGTCCTCGTCACAGCGGGTGCTTCCATGTCGCTGTTCATCGTCAAAACAGCTCTTCTCGGCCCCGGGGACCACCTCGCCGTCACTCGCCCCAACTACGCGACCAATCTAGCAATACCCCAATCCATCGGCTGCGACATTACCTTCATAGACCTCGACTTTGACTCGCAATTCCGCTTGGATATCGACCGGGTGTCCGCGGCGATCCGTCCTGGTTTCACCAAGCTCATCAGCATATGTTCCCCCAATAACCCGACAGGCACCATGTGTACCGTCGCCGAGCTGCAGTCGCTTGCTGCGCTGGCCAAGAAAAGCGCATGCTACCTCCTCATCGACGAGACCTACGCAGATCTCAACCACGGCGCGGACAAGATGCCTGCGGGAGCTTGCCTCGGCGACCACGTCATCACCGTTTCGTCCATGTCCAAAACCTATGGTGTGCCGGGGCTCCGCGTAGGCTGGCTCACGACGACCAATACCGCCCTCCAAGAGAGATTCCTGGCCGCCAAAGAGCAGATCATGATCAGCGGGAGCGTACTTGACGAGCTCGTCGCCGAGCAGATCCTGTCTCGGCGGGACGAGCTCCTCCCCACCATCATCGCCGATATGCGCCGACGTAAGGATCGTGTCGCCAGCTGGGTGGAGGAACACAGCGACATTGTCGATTGGGTCCGACCGGAGGCGGGCGCCATGTGCTTCATCAAGGTCAAGGCGGAGCCGGCGAGCGGGATGAACACATTCTACAAGCATCTCCTGGAGAAGCACGGGGTGTACATAGGACGTGGCACCTGGTTCGAAAGGGACGATACTTTCTTCAGGATGGGTTACGGATGGCCGACGTGGCAAGAATTAGAGCTGGGATTGGACAAGATTGCAATGGCGCTGAGGGAATGATGATGCATCAATCACGGTGGTGAAAGGCGCTCGTCCTGAGCTGGCTAACAACACTTCAATTGGCTCAGCAGATGGTGGATGACATGGGCAATGATGTCTTATGCAGCTACGAGAAAGTATAGCTTACGGGAAGAGAGGATGCGAAGAGGGAACCAACAGTACACTTGTGCTCGGAGTGTAAGCCAATATGTGCACGGCGGTCGGTTCATTATTTTTTCCCATCGTCCATCACCGGCCAAAATGCCTCCTCCGCAGCGAGGATCTCTCGCCACTTGACCAAGCCGCGCTGCAGCAGCGCCTCCTACACATCTTCCGCCTGCGTCTGTACCGCAGCGTCGATGATGTTGGCCAGTCGCTCGACAAAGTCCACAAAGTCGGGGCTCGACCAGTTGGCCATGAAATGCCGCCGCACCGCCCCGCCATCCTCATCGTCCGCTACTTCCGTGTCGTCGACCTGCTGCGATTTCATCCACGTCCACGCTTCCAGAAACAACTTTTCCGTCCCGTAAAACACCACCGCACTCTCGAGCCACGGCAGCAGATCCCTATCGCCCGCCTGCAGTCCATCGAACAAGGCCTCAAACCGACAAAGACCAGGCATTTTTACCGATGCAGGCACCCGTCCGTGCTCATCCGCCGGCAGGTTCACGTTGATGCCGTACTGCCCGGCCGTCTCGACGATGAAGCGCTCCTCCTGCTGGATGTTGATCAGATCATCAATCGTCCACGCCAGGAGTTTCGACTCGGAGTCCGCTTGCAGCTCGACCAGCACAGCGGGGACCACCTGTGGCAGCGACAGGAAGCTGAGCAGCCGGCCGGCGGCGCGAAGATAGCCGTGGACGTAGAGACGGTCGTTGGCGAGCCATTTTCCGAGCACCTCTTTCGAGAGCGTGCCCTGAGCAGCACGGCGCAAAAACGGCGACTGCGTGGCGCGCTGGAAGAATGCCGGGTCAGAGACCACGAGGGCCTGCGTAAACGACGACATGATTGAAGATGATTGTCTGTGTAAAAAGTTGACGGCACGGGAATTGGGCGTTATTATGAGAGATGGTGCTGTATTGCAAAATGGCTGCGGATTAATGTGCTGTTCGGCTACGGCTTCTTCAACTCTACAGACCTTATGAGACTCAAAGACTTGCCTGCCGATCACGGAAAGGATAAGAGGCGTGAGACGCCCCCGCAGACAAGCTGCAGCTAACAGCTCAACAGATGTAGGGTTTCGATGTGAGGAGTGGTGTAACGTGAGATTGAGGTTCAGCCTGTAGAGCATTCCGCATTAAACAACTCGCTATGGATGGGTCTAGCCTCTCGCTAGCGCAAGTCGGGTGACTATCCGATGGACACTACTCCCCAGACTACCACACACTCTATAGGACTTGAAGCCGATTTAAAGCTGAGTCGTTTAAGGTTTAGCCTTACCCGCTCATCCAACTTTATACTAAGCACTTGCCGAGAGAAGAAAGCGCAAGATTTCCTCTTTGAGACTAAAAGCTTGGCGCTTATTAGCAGGTTGTCTTATACATGTCACTTCCGTCGGGGGTCTGTAGTTGTCGCCCACATCGGAGATGTTCATGTTACCATGTCACTTCCGTCGGAGTTCCATGTCCCCGCCCTCGGCGATACCTATTTTTCCGGAAGGATTCCGTCTCCTGTTTGTTCGTAGCTGTGCTGTCTACTTGAAAGTCAGAGCGTCCGCCCTCCTTTCGATGGATCTACGGTATGCGTAAAGACCGTCAAGATGCGCGTTCTCGGGATCAATTCAGTCTATCATGAGTCGGCCGCGGCATTGCTCGTCGACGGACAAATCGTTGCAGCAGCCGAAGAGGAACGTTTCTCCCGCGTCAAACACGCCAAACCGGCGAGAGTTGACAATGCTGACGAACTGCCTCTCGAAAGCATTCGGTATTGTCTTGAATACGCCGCCGTTCGGCCCGAGGACATTGATGCGATTGCCTATTCCTTCGACCCCGATCTACGGGCCCGAGAGTTCAGCATAGATGACCAAAGCGAGGCCGGGGATTTTGGGACGGAAGCAGGCGAGAAGACTTTCCTGTCCCATCTTCGTTCAGTCCCCGACGCATTGTTGGCTGCTCACTTCGGCCGAGCCGAACAGCGGTTGACCTTCATTCCGCATCATCTMTCTCACGCCGCCTCCACTTTCTACCCATCGCGGGTCGAAGACGCCGCCATCCTCGTCGCGGATGGCATTGGAGAGGCTTCTTGCACGTTGCTCGCGCGGGGCGACAAGAATGGCATCACCATCTTGCGGGAGATTCCATTCCCCCATTCCATCGGCTTCATCTGGGAGAAAATCAGCAAGTACCTCGGATTCTCCGAATATGACGCCTGCAAAGTGATGGGTCTTGCGGCCTATGGCGACGCGGCAAAGTTCAAGGATGCCTTTTCACACCTCATGCGGGTTGATGAGAGCGTCAACGGATACGCCGTCGACAAGACGACAGCCAACTTCCGCTTGCCTGATTTTGACGGCATTGAGACTCTGTTTGGGCCCGCCCGCAAGCCAGATGCACCGCTTGAGAGCCATCACTACGATGTGGCCGCCGCTCTTCAAGTCGCCACCGACGAGGCTCTTCTCGCCCTTGCAAGGGAACTCCGCCAGCTGGTTGATTCCGACAACTTGTGCCTTGCGGGCGGCGTTGCACTGAACTGTGTGAGCAACATGGTCCTCAAAGAAGCCGGAATCTTCTCCAACATCTTCATTCCGTCGGCTCCCCATGACGCAGGCACGGCCATGGGTGCCGCACTTGAACTGAATCAGCGCCTAGGTGGTCCGGCAAATCGCGCCTCTGACACACCCTACCTCGGCCCAGCGTATGACGACGCCTCCATCGTCGCAGCATTCGCGGCCGCTGGGCTGTCGCCGGAGCTGTCCAGCTCGCCGGCCCTCGAGGCTGCCCAGATGATTGCGGCAGGCAAGATTGTGGCATGGTTCCAGGGCCGAATGGAGTTTGGCCCCCGAGCTCTGGGCAACCGCTCGTTGCTGGCCGATCCGCGAAGCACTTTGACACGCGAAATGCTCAACGTCAAAGTGAAGCATCGCGAAACGTTCCGTCCTTTCGCGCCCAGCGTTCTGGCCGAGTCGGCGGGGGAGTGGTTTGAGCTTGGCCACCCCTCTCCGAGCTACGACTTTATGCTCTTCGCTTGCCAAGCCGCCGCCGGCCGCGGAGAACAAGTACCCGCCGTTTTACATGAAGACGGAACGGCGCGTGTCCAGTTGGTTCATCGGGAGGCCAATCCCGCATTYCACGAACTCATTTCTCATTTCGCAGACTTGACGGGGGTCCCGATGGTGCTTAACACGTCCTTTAATGACAGTGAGCCGATTGTCTGCACCCCGACCGACGCTATTGCCACATTCAGGAAGACGCGCATCGATGCCCTCTTCATAGGTAGCAGATTTGTCACTCGCGAAAGTAAAGATTGATAGAGGTTGATATCTAAGAGACAATCAGCTTTGACCCTGGCACACCTTCGACTCTAGGTAGTCTTGGCAAGGGGAAGGGCTTGGCATGGCTAGTTGACTGTGTTGAGTGACGCTGGGTATACTAGGATTTGATACCACGATGTTGGAGACATTGTTGCTTAGCACTCGTCCCGATATCATGTCGTCCTAAACTGTCTGTTGTRACACGTTGAAAGTTTACTCCATTTCGCGCTGCAGAGTGAAGAGCCTCAGAGACTGGGCTGACCTAGAACAGGACGATCAACCTGTCCAGTCGTGCACTCTGCTCAGATGACGGTCAAGCTATAACGTTGGGCGGTAGGGCTCCGCCCCCGCCCTGACTGCTCACCCCATGCGGTATTCCGCCCGAAAGTCTTGGGACTCACCTTGCGGTTACTATGCGGTCTCCCTACGGACCTCCGGCGGATTCCTTCTCTAACGTCCCTTCTCCCTAACCGAACCGGACGAGGAACGAGTGTTCCCCAAAGGGGAGGATAAGAAGGGAGGAAGGAAGGTGGAAGGAGGACAGGAATAATCACCCTAACTGTCCGACTCTACCCTGACTCTACACATTCACATTACACGAGGAGTGTTAACAATGCTCACACGGCGACCCAATGGCTGAGCCGAGGTGAATGTTTTCAGGAGGTCGACGATCTTCCTTGGGCCCCTTCATATTGCAAGGTATGTAAGCTGGGTATCTACCGTGACTCCCCGGCCCCCGGCAATATCACCCCGGAGCTCTCGCAGCAGAAATTGTCAGTATCTCCACTCCTGCCTGTTGTTGTCTGCTATAARGTCGTAGATAGTTTCCGCCTCTTCTCGGCGTGTGTGGAACACTGCAATACAACAACTTCCTACACAGCTTCATTACCCCTCTTATCAACGCGATCATGGTCATTCTCTCTCCCTCTACACGTCCCGAATGGGATCTACGACAGTCTGAGCTATGGGCCGAGTCTTGTGCACACAAGGATACCTACTTCGAGCGTGTCGGAGACTTTGACATTTACCTTCATCCTTCCGTGCTCTCCCCCAAATACTTCCCGGAGACGCTTTGGTTCGGCGAGAATCTTCCCCACATTGTTCAAGGGAAATCATTCCTGGAAGTTGGTCTCGGCTCAGGGCTCGTCTCCCTCCATCTTGCCGCTTCGGGCTCTGCGGTTGCTGGGGTGGACATCAACCACAAGGCCGTGGAGATCACCAAGAAGAATTTCGAGTCCAACGGTCAGATTGGTCAGTTTGTTGTTAGTGACGTTTTCGAAAACGTCACTGATAAATATGACTTTATTTTCTGGAATCACCCCTGGGCGTGGGACGGGTCGCTACAGGCCGCAGACGAAAAGTTGGAGATGTTCTTGGACGAGGGATACGTTGTGCTGAAGCGCTTCATCTCTCAGTCCAAGAACCACTTGACCGAAGGCGGTTCGGTGCTGCTGGGAACAGTCCCTTACGCCAACTTGAGTCTTGTGGAAGAGATTTGTGCAGCCTGCGGGTATACTCAGGAGATTGTTCGAGAGGGACTGGGCGATTTGGGTAATGGCGTCACTGAGCAGTATTACATTATTCAAATACGACCACAGTAAGGAGCTGTAGCTGGACAGAGATGATTCTAGGATTAAATGTACTGCACTTTTGAAGATATCTGCTTCGTATCGAGCACCATGTCTTCCTGTTTCCGTACCGAAGAAGTACCTGGAAAAGGAACTGGAATGGTGGCATCGAGAAAAAGATTCCGTAGGTGCCTTTAAATTCGGTCTGAATCTCCCATCATCGTCGTTCCGCAACAAGCGCAAGCGAACGAATGCGCACAATCTATCTTACCTCAACTGCAGAAGATGGCAAGCCAGGATCAGAAAGCATTTCTTCACTCTCAGCAACAATTTGGCAGATACGATGCGTTCGATCGAGGGCATTCTGAAGACGATTGCCATGCCGTTGGGGGAAGATTCGCCTCTTGGTGGCGACTTTTCCCAAATGTTCCCGGTTCAATCATGGCTGTGTAGCCAACGCAGCCTACCTTATTCTTGGAATGAAGACAAGAAGAAAGAGCGAGTGCATGCGATCCGGAAACATTACCGCTGGAGAAGAGATGGTTTTCAGCTACCTCCTCGTCGAACATGCTTGGGCTTTGCCCAAGGAAGAGAGAAGCAAACAGACTATGATTGATTTCGTATTGTGAGACAGTGACCTAATTCGAAGTGACGAGCGAAGAACACGACTCGCAAAAATTAATCAGGATATTGGTCTGCTGGAAGCAGTGTGCTTGTTGGTGTGGTTAGCTTAGTAAGTGGTTATTGGTGGTTAGGTTACCGGTTGGTATGGTTAGCAATTGAAGCGCTGTTAGTAGGAGTTGGTATAAGGGTTGTTAGTTACCGGTAACTAACCGGATAGGGCTCCGATTAGCTATATTGCCTCCGGAGGTCCGCATCCTTAATAATCCGGTCGTCTTAAGTAAGTTCATCTATACTATTAATTTATCGTTAATTTAATGCCATTCGGTAGCTAGCTAATCCTTAGTAAGGGAGTTACTAATAAGGTCATCCTTAATCTATTAAGTGAGGGCTATAGCAAACCAAACCTACCGAACTACGTAACTATCCGAGGGAAGCGCTACCTCCGCTAGCTTACCGCCGCTAACAATAAGGACCTAAGGAAGCGTAGGAGCACTATATAGCAGTACGGAGAGTAGTTTATTAAGGACGTAGAGGGCGTAAGTGTGTATTACTACTACCGCTACGAGCGTAAGGGTAAGAGGCAAACTCTACTAGTTCTAAATAGCAATTAAGGGCCGCTCTACTACCTCCTTAGGGATTACCGTATTAATAAGGATAGTAAACTAGTAATAAGTAAGAAAGAGGCGGCTTCTATAAAGGGCGGTATTATGTCTATAGCGTTACTCGTTTTAAGGAAGAGCCTTAAGAGGTTTAAGAGCCTATTAGTGCGGTAGATTGTGTATTACTACATCTCTTTCCGTATACTTAAGAACACGTACTTCCGCGCTCTTATATCGTTCTTAAACGCCGGAGTTAGAGGCGTTCTTCTACGTATAGCGTCGACGATTCGAGGGTAGGTCTTAGAGGCATATAGGGCGTAGAAGGAAGCGTTAATAGAGGAGTTAAGGGAGGCGTTAAGCGACATCTACGTATCGTTTAATAGCTAGACGAGTCCGAATAACTACTTAATCGTTAGCATTAATACGCACTTTATCGATAAAAGCGGAAAGCGTAGGATAGAGCGGCTAGCCTTTAGAAGGATCCTCGGCGAACATATAGGCGACAATATTAGTGCGAAGCTGCTTAAGGTAATCCGTAAGTAGCGGATTAGAGGGCGGATTAGTTACTTTATTACGGACAATACGAGTAATAACGATAGTATAATTAAGATAGTTCTAAGGGCTCTCTATCCGAATATGTTAGCGAAGACACGTAAGGGACGGAGGCTCCGGTGTCTTAGCTATATTACTAACCTTATCGCGAAGGTAATGCTCCTTAGTAGGGGTGGCGGTAAGGCGATAAAGGAACTAGAGCGTAACACCGAGAAGGGCGCTTTTAAGAAGGTAGAAGAATTCTAGCGTAACCGTAGCGCTATTAGACGACTATACAATATTATTAAATGGATTAGAGCGTCTATATAGCGACGAGAGGCGTTTAAGAAGGTGTATTATAGTAGTAAGGAGTGTATAATGTTTAATGATCTTAAGGTGAGTCTAGAATAGTCTATACCGCTCCGGAGGTAGCTCCGCCGGTAACTCCGGTAATTCCGGTGTAAAGTCATCCTTACTTCCATCCTTTAACTTTGCTAATTACAACATGCACAGCTTATCTAAGACAACTCCACACGCTAGAACTTATTCTACTATATACTAGGAAGGGCATAGACCGTTAGGAAGCGAATTACCGAGTTCTATAGGCTCTATAGAGCTAAGAGGGCCATCCGTAATAACTAGCTAACACCGAACGATTAGGCTTAGATTAACCGGCTGTACGATGCACTATATATATTCGAACTTACGATAATAACGACTTAAGGCAATAAGAAACACCTATACGACTAGTACCCTACGCTTTAGTTCCTCCTCGATTATACTAGCAAATATTCGGCCGAATTTAAGGAAGAAGTAGCGATAGATAGACGGTTTAGATACCTCTTAGGTTGCTATAACTATGCCTAGCAAAAGGCTAAGAAGTACTAGAAGCTAGTGGATAATACACTAATTATCTACGCTACTATCGTCCTTAATCCGACCCTTAAATACGGCTAGTTCGAAGACAGATAGAGTGAAGGTTCTAAGGAAGAGTAGGGCTATATCGAATAAGTGCGCATAATAGTAAAAGAGCTATAGATGTCTAAATATCGCCCTATACCACCGCTGTCGCCGGTAGGTAGTTCTATAACACTAGCTCCCTTAGATAGTAAGGATCTCCGTAACTACCTATCTATGTATAAGCGGCGTAAAACAACAACAACCTCACGTAGTAACGCACTCGAAAACTACCTATCTAAGGACTGCGTTCCGGACACTAATAAAGCACTAATTAATGTCCTCAACTAGTGGTTTGAGAGGCGTTACTCAGAGCTAGAACTAGCTAAGTTTGCCTTTAATACACTCGTAATCCCCCTTTAATTAGATGAGCTAGAACGGTCCTTCTTAGATGGCCGTAACATTATTACCTACCGCCGCAACCGCCTCTAAGAGGAGGTAATTAAAGCATGCAGTTGTTTGAAGAGCTGGTACGGTCCACTAACACCGGATGCATTTAATAATGTTAAGGGGATTAAGGAGTTTTATATAGCAAGGACAACTGCAGCTACAACACAGGGCTCTTAGGGAGTTTCAGAGGATATAGAGACGCTTTTTGTAAACTAATTGCCTATTTAGGAAGCAGGTAACCATTGGTGGAGTTGGTATTCACTTCAGAAGCAGTTGGTTAGTATGGTGAGAGCCCTTAGCTAACCGGTAACCACACCAAAAAGCACACTGGCTGGAAGAAGAAGAAGAAGTGGGATGTCCTCAGATCGAAAGTGTCTCTACTACGATGCCTTCCAAACTTGCATATGTCATGGAGACCTCTCCATCGGAAAGCCGCTTGCCTTTCCGAGATCATGCGAAGCAACCCACCATATATATACTGGTCGTGTTGCCACTCTGGTCGAGCATGATACAGGAAGTTGGGGCACATTTCTCTGCAGCGGCGATCGTACGAAATATCCAATTGATWCCAAGGCAGGCTTCCCAACTCAAGCCATCTCGTTTCTGACAAATATTGGTTCAGAAACCCGAGCACATTGACTTCAAGAATATATTGTGAGGACTTCAGGGCCGAAGCGGAGGTACTAACCGATCGATCTGCTCGCCTCTGAAACCGACACGAGCGACAAGCTGTCCAAATGTTTTCCATAACAGCGGATTCCGAGTCGTTGCCTTTGGCCGGCCTTGGTCGGATTCCATTAGAGTGGTCACGCTGCTCATCTGCGGAAATCTCCCAAGGGCGAACAGCCACAGCTGCTGGTAGCCTATAGCAAAAGTGGACTCTAATACTGTCGTATGCTCGCGGAAGTCGTTCTCGGCGTACTCTACTATAAGGCTTTCAGGCCGATGATAAACGCGCTGTAGCGCTTCTTTGACACAAACCTTTGGCTTTGGGTCGCACAGCATACGCATAATCTTAGCGCAGGGTTCCAGATATTTCAGACTTTCCAAAAATGTGAACAAACTAGGAATCGTTCCCGGCAAATGATGTATGTTCTGTAATATTCTGTTGCGATGTTCTTCCGATGTGGTATTACGGAAGATCGATTTTCCGATCATTGCGCCAGTTATCTTGTCACCGTCGGCTTTTGAGGTGCCAGGAACCATGGTCTCGAGACATGCGACTGTTCTTTTCATCCACTCAGTTTGTGTCCATGCATTTTGAAGTGAAGAGAAGGATGATTGATGAGACGGCATGTTGATTTGCTTGCCAAGGGTTGGATTTGTGGGAACCCAGAATCTCGTAGGTCTTGCTTTTAGATTTCAGGTTTTGAAACGTTGGTAGATACATCCGGAGCTCCGTCTGCATAAAATCCGGATTTCGGAAAGACATCCGTCTGACCATGATTCAAATCGAGGTATTCAAGGCCTCATCATCCCTCATATCGAAGAATTTCTAGCTCCTCTCCAACGGCATTTAGTCCACGTAGCACAGCGCAAGGATACATCACCCAAACCCTAGATACCAGCATCATGACCTTTGACCAAGTCAGCAACATTACCGGTGACAGTCTGGCGACGCCGGGACTGGTTGCCGCACCATATTCAACGACTGCGATACAGGACAAGGCAAAGCACAACCAGACGCTCTATGCATCCTTTCCTACTCTTCATCCACTTGGAAAGCCGCCAACGCGAAACGCTGTGCTGGAGCAACAATGTCCACCGGTTGAAGATTGGATCAAGGGGCAGACAAAGTCGACCACCTTGTACGCGKCTTGGGCCTTGATCGTGAGCCACATGACAAAGTCGAAGCGCGTTGTGTTCGGCGTGACGGATTGGCAGCATCAGCCAGCGAAATCAGGAGATGTGTCCGGCGCAGAAGTGCTCGTCATGCCCATGTTCATCGCTTCCGATGGCCATCCATCAGTCCAGGACTATCTCGCCCATGTACAGAGTCAGCAAGCCAGACTCGGGTCTTCTGATCCAGAAGGCGTGCGTGAGCCGGGAAGCGACACCCAAAGCAGGCCTGCCTTCTCGACGCTACTCAATATTCAACCTGAGAATAACACTTTATCAATGGAGAGGTCCCCATGTAAAGGTACCAGCGAGCAGCAACCGAGTTGCAGGAGTACAGGAATTGCTCTGACACTTAGCATTCACTTTGGCATCGACCATGCTGCTATCACGGCTTCTTTCGACTCCACCGTCATCTCCGATTGGACAGTGAGACACTTGTGCCGACAGCTGGCCTTCGCTTTACACCAGCTTCAAGTTGCAAGCGCCGTGGACAGCATTTCTACAATTACGATTACAACACCCGACGATTTGGATCATATTTGGAGCTGGAATGGTGCTGTCCCGACTCCTGTTGAGCGTTGCGTTCATCACATAATCCAGGAGTGCGCGGCATCACAACCAGCTGCACTAGCTATCTGCGCCTGGGATGGTGAGCTATCGTATAGCCAACTGGACCGCCTCGCCATGGGTCTTTCCCGCCAGCTTTCCGGGCTGGGTGTTGGTCGCGGTAAGATTGTGCCGCTATGTTTTGAAAAATCCATGTGGGCAGTCGTCGCCATGCTCGGGGTGCTCCAGAGTGGAGCCGCTTTCGTGTTGTTTGATCCCTCGCTTCCCGAAAGTCGTCTTCTTGCCCTGGCGAGGCAGGTGAAAGCCAACGTCATTGTGTCGGGCGATCTGGAGAGGCAGCTGAGTTCTCGACTCGCACCCCATGTGATGGCCCTGGGGACATCTGTCAGTCAATCCTTATACGATCAACCCGCATCACCGGCAGGCGACTCCCGTCCGTCCGATGTCATGTACATTGCGTTTACGTCAGGTAGTACGGGAGTGCCAAAAGGCGCAATTATCACCCATCGAAACCTCGCATCTGCCCTACACTATCAACAGGACAGTCTCCGCCGTTCATCTCGCTCTAGAACTTATGACTTCTGCGCATACACATTCGACGCTTCAATCTGCAATATATTCTCAACACTTGCTGCAGGCGGGTATGTATGTGTCCCTAGCGAGGACCAAAGGCGAAACAACCTCGTAGGAAGCATAGCGTCTCTTGGGGCAAATACTATCGACCTTACTCCATCTGTCGCCCGAATCCTATCTCCCGAGCAGGTGCCTAGTATAGAAGTTATTGTCTTTGGAGGAGAAACGCTACACCCCAAAGACGTGGCACGTTGGTGGGGGAAAGTCCACATTATCAACCTGTATGGGCCATGCGAGTGCACGCCGAATAGCACAATTAATGGCAGTCCTACGAGTATTGAAGATGCTACACACTTGGGAAAAGGCCTCGGTTTGTTGACTTGGGTTGTCGATGTTGATGACCACGATGTTATTCTTCCGCTAGGGTGTATTGGTGAGCTGTTACTCGAGGGTCCTCTTGTTGGGCAGGGCTATCTAGACGACCCTGCGAAGACAGCAGCAGCATTCATTGAGAATCCGCTGTGGCTACTTGAAGGCAGTCCCCACCATCTAGGAAGACCTGGTCGGCTTTACAAGACTGGAGACTTGGTTCGGCTTGACAAAGACGGATGCTTGACTTTCATGGGACGCAAGGACTCCCAAGTCAAAGTTCGAGGGCAGCGGGTGGAACTGGGCGAGGTGGAGCATGCTCTCCTCGCATGTGGTGCCGTTGACGATGCCGCCGTTGTTCTCCACAATGATGATGAACAGGGCGCTCGGATGGTAGCCTTCGTTACTCTTCATGACCAATACCCTGCATTCGAGAAAAGACCAAAATTCACCTAAACAGGCAGAGACCTCACCGTTACTGGGGTGAGAGGTTGTGGTTAGCTGTTCAGTCAAAGTCGAAATCTATGCGCTCGTTTCTCGCTAGACAGCTGGCGGGAGTCCTTCACAGTCATGGCGTTGCAGAAGTACATCGCTTTACTCTATTTGTTCTTTGCGGCATAGCTTATACTGTGCTACGTTATCCCATACTTCTCTTCCAACAAGAGCCTTAAGAGTATCCCTAGACCATTTGTAGCCAAGTTCAGCAATACATGGATTGCTCTTGGAGCCAGGAAAAGAAAGAAGAAGTTTGCTTGAGTACATTGGGCTCACGAGCGATTTGGTGCGATTGTTCGAGTCGGACATAATCATGTCTCTCTTACAGAACCTAGAGCCTTATAAGTAGGTTACGGACATGGAAATGGGTAGGTTGCTAAAGAAGAGAGTCGAAGGCGATACAATTATGAACTTGTAATTGGTTTCTCAAAGAGTACGTCCTTACCGTTGGATCATGATTCGAAAGCTCATCAATCTGTAGTCACTTCTACAAAGCCTTCGTATCTGGAGCATTAGGTATCTTTAGCGTACAAGATCGTGTCGAACGGACTCGAAAACGGAAGATCATTGCACGTGCGTTCGAGACGGTACTGCCTCGTTCGACAATTTTGCAAAGTCCGTGCTGATATTTGCTCACAGCACATAGCTAAGAGTCTGCGGCGATGGGTTCGACAACTGGATCGTTCAKCTTCCTATCCAACGTCCCGCGGCGGCTTTGCGAAGATTAACATAATGCCTTAGTACACCCATCTTGCATATGGTATCAGTGAGTTCATTGCAATAAACATCCCCTAGATCCTCGGCTAATCTTGTGCAGTCGGTGATCCGGCATTTAGAGCTCCTTTCGGTATGGTTGAAAAAGGTAGAGATGTATGTGAAGCACAGCTGGTTCCTTATGGACCAATAGTGCTCGCTCCCGGTACAGAGACATTAAATCGAAGAAGAGAGGTCGGCTCGACGCTAGGGCTCCCCTTAAGGTCACCGAAAGTGGACACTTCAAGAAAGAATGCAACCCAAATCTCAGTCTTCGTTTCGTCACGTAGCCTCTGCGATATCACAAGCGACATAAGAGAGTCTACTCCGAAATCTGTAATCCTTACATCATCTAACAGCATTCGAACATCGACAGCTAATTCTTAGACGATGATGTCAAATGCTCGCTTCACGACGTCAGGGCCATGTTTTCTGCTGACAAAGGGCCGTCCTTAACCGCTTGTAATTCGTTGTTCGGTGCGGGCTCTTGGGTGGTGGTGGTGGAATCTGTACCAGCCTTGCAATGGTTAATGTAGGGCGATGAGAGGCCTGGGGGTGTCTTGGATGGGAACGCACTAGATTCCGACGAGTCCAGTGTGAGACTTTCGTAAGCGACATCTGGTATCTGAGGGACGTTCTTGTTGGCTGGCGGGCAGAAAAAGCGATGAAAAGGCCTTGTATCGTAGAAAACGCCTTATACGTGGCCGCTAAATACGACACGAAAAGCGCCCTAGAACCCTACTAGTGGCCATGTATAAGGCCTTACACAGAATATAAGCGGGGACATCAAGAGACGGTAACGCTGTGGATGAATTCTCAAGTGTCAGACTAAGAATGGTAAATGACTGAAGTAATAATGCAACACGACATAGACAACTGACAAGTTCGTTTACAGTTCCCGCCAACGATTATTGCTGGGAACGAGAGTTGCAGTTCTTGAGTATGAAAGATGTCTGCGGTATTGAGCAATCTGCAACTCCTGTCCATCAGCGACGCAACACAACCCACGTCCCTCGCCAAGCCCGTCTCTTCTTTCAGAACCATGTTCGTAAGCCATCTCGGCCGACTTTCAGTCAAGGCTTGGCCTTCTCTCAACCAGTGATTCCCGACAAGAATCCGGCCCTCGCGGGCTTCGCTTGCATGTTCTCATTGTACAAAGCAGCGGCACCTTCAGCGGGGTTGACACCAGGGATCCAAGAATACTTGTCCGACACGCCCTGAAGATCATCGTCAGTAACAGGACATCCCGAAGTCCAAAGTTAGTCTCAGAGAGACTGAAGAGAAACTCACCCAAATGGTCATGCCAACACATCTCGGTACGGCCACACAGCTCCTCGCGACGTTCTGGTAGACCTGTCTCTGCGTCTCAAGCTTGGCAGAGTTGGAAGGAAGAGTCATTTTGACATCGATCTCCGTGTATGCGACGTCGACGCCGAGGTTGGTGAAGCCGGTCAATGTCTGTACCATCGAGGCGTAGGTGGGGTTGTAGGTAATGCTGAGATGGCACTGCAGACCGACACCGTGGATCGTTTGCCCGGCGGCTTTGATCAGGTTGACGAATCTTCGCGCACCACCGGCCTTGGAAGCTGTTGGATTGATTAGCCGTGGCTCGGACGATGAGTTGTAGACGTGGATCGAGATCTGCTGACGAAGTTGGAGGGAGCGCCTCCAACTGAGTTGCGGGCCTCCTGCTATACATTCTTACCGGAAGTCTCAAGGTTGTAGTCGTTGTAGTACAGCTGTGCGTTCGGAGCCGCGGCCTTGGCGAGCTGGAAGGCAAGGGGGATGAAGTCATCTCCAAAAGTCCTGCGGAAGACACTATCACGAGTGCTGCCGTCCTCGTTCAAGGCTGAGGCTGAAGTCAGTATCCAAGACTTGGGTGATCGAATGAGTGGAGATTTATACCTTCGTTAACAACATCCCAACGTGTACAGACGTCCTTGTCTATGAAGAGCGAGCTGGTAAGCATGGTCTCACATACATATGACAGAYTTGCTGCGGTTCAATTCACTTACAGCGTCCAGCAACCGCATCGATGTGGGCCTTCATAACAGCAGTCAACTCAGCTCGGGACCATGTACGTCCACTAGAGAGGAAATATGATCAGTCAAAGCTCAGGATGTGAGAACCCGGATCATATATCACACCTGACCCATGCCGGCAGCTGGCTGTGCCAGACGAGGGTATGGCAATGAAGCTGGTATCCATTCCTTCTGGCGTAGTCGGCGTATTGGTCGGCACCGGCCCAGTTGAATTGGCCCTGCGAGGGCTGAATCGAAGCCCACTGAGAGAGGTAAGCAGGTCAGTAAAGCCCGGCAAACTTTGCGAGAGGGACATCATACCTTCATGGCATTCTCGGGGGTGATTCTGCGAGGCGTGTGCGTCAGTGGACAAACACCAGGTGATTGGGACGGAAGTCTATAAAACATACGAGTTGAAATCGTTCTTGTTTCCGTAGATTGCACTTTCAGCAGCATCGTTCCTCTGGTGAAAGCAAAGGGTGAAATGTCAGCGGCAGTCTTACATCATGATTCCGGTACAGAATCTATCCTGTAGACGAAGCCCGAGAAGCTCTCGAACTGAGCTGCGAGTCTTTTGCGGTTTGCTCTTACGAATGTCACGGCAGTTCCAAGGAACTTGCGTCCTTTGGCCAGGAAAGCCTGCGCCAGACCCTGACTCTGGCGTTTGTCGAGAGAGCTATGACTYGTCAGCGCCAATATTCAACAGCAGAATGGCGAGCATGACTGGGAATGTCACTCACTCAATGGGTGTGGCGGATGTGAGTCCAGCCAGTGCCGAGATGGCGAGAAGGGCGTGGGTAAAATGCATCCTAGATGAAGAAAAATAGATTTCGATATGAATGCTTATGATTTTGACCGGTTGAGGGCGAAGGAGGTCGTCTTTATGTTTCGCAGACGGTTAATATATCCACACCTGATGGTGCAGGGCGAGGAGTCCATCGCAAGTCCTTCCGCCGCCTCCGTGTAAATTGAGATGCATTCGTAGCATTCATCCCCAAGGTGCCGCAACGCTGAAACGATCGTAGCGCGGGTCTTGGTCGCATGCTGCATGGATACGGTCTGCTCGGTCACCGCCAGATCGATGAGTTTGGACAAATTCGTCGACGAGGGGGACGCGAGGTGGAGTCCGGAGACGGGTTTGTTCCTCGAACAGGCTGGCTGAATGGACGGAGAAATAACAGTGCGAGGATAGTCGTCGCTCGGTTACAGTAGTTCGTTTCGACCGCCGTTTAGTCGATGGAGCATCGATATGCATATCCTTCAGAATAGGAAGGTCTATCATTATTGCCATATGCATGCACATTTTCCAGAATAAGAAGGTCTGTCGTCTTTGTGAAATGCAGAGTTCCCATTCGAAGGATTGCTAAGGGTCGGCGCGATGATAGACGTCGGGCTCCCTCCTGGTCAATCAAGATAAGGAAATCCACAGGGCAGTCCACTCCACTAGGTGCATGTCTTTAGGCAGTTTCAAGTCATCCGCACTTGTCGTTCTAGGTTCGAGTGCGGGGTGCAGATGGATGTTATTCGCTAGGGGAGATTGCAGGTCTTGGCGTTCTTTTGCGGTTTAGCCCCTGTCAGCTGCCAACCATCTTTACTTCACTCAACTTTCCCACACCCTCAGCTCTCCATCGTCCGAGACCCTGAGCCATGCCAAGCGAAAGTCTTCTAATCGAGCAAAGAGGTACGAATCAAACTAAACAAAATGCATGATGCATGATGCAGGCCGCAGAAGAGCTTGTGTAGGTCACAGGGTTACATATACGAGATTCGCACCAAGCAAAATCAAATATGCATCGAGGGTACCRCTCGTGTGAATGGATGAGTTCAAGCCAGGCAGTGTCTTGTTCTTCGTTCGGCTCCCATTCAATCTTGGTGAGAACAGAACCTGTCAAGTCTGAGGGAAGCCGGTCTAAGGGAAGCCGGTTTCTGGCAATGCGGTAGATAGACTACGGGGATGGGCTGCAATGGATAGGTTGTCCGAGTCGAAGAGTGGAAAGCCAATGAACTCAAGTGTGGATGTTGATCGGGTAGGAAATGAGAGAGCGGCTCGGTCGTTGAGGATAAGATGGATGAAAGTCGATGTTGGTGTTCCGACCCACGTTCAAGGTGAGTAAACCTGTTTTCGTGTTCCAGCGAGTCGACCGCGCTTTGACAGTTCGCGCCAATACAAAGCGCAGAGTGTAAAAGGTACACACTGAGGGGAAGCTAGGTAAGCTACGGCCGTGCAGACAGTCGTGCTCGTTTGTATGAGTGGATTTCTGTGACTCTCAAGGTTTCGCATGTGACGCTTGGCAGCTGATCAGGGATGAACGACGAAATTCCAGCGGCAATCGGTCCACACTTTATCCGCTCGTCTATACTATAGCCTGCACAAACCAGTGGAACTTGCGTGGGAGAAAGATTGCTTTGTGATTAAACAGAGCTGCTCAGTCATGCACTTCACTGCTATTTATCTCGTTTCTTCTCGTTATCTAGTTGCTCAGACGTTACAGCCAGTCCATCACGAAGACCCATTTTCTGTCGATTGCATCCCGACATCCTACGCCCATGATAGACCAGTCCACCGAGAGAAGTCTCACGACACACCCGCGCACTTCTCCGTACAGCTCCTCTAATGCTTGATACCCGTTCTACCATCCCCACAAAGTGTTATAGAATTTGTAGCGGATGCTTGCTTCTATTTTTCTCTTGTACGCTGGGTTTGGCGACTTGGCTTTGTGGCCCGACACTGCTATGAGCCGATGGGCTGCGGACATTCGATGCTCTAGGCAGAGGATGCATCTGGAGATCACCCTTGCTGGCTTGACCGATCATCAGACTTGCCAACAAAGGTACCACTTTTATGTTGATCGAAACCAAGGATGCTGCAAGGCCTGGTAGGCAGAAAGCCTTCTACCAGGATCTAGATTCATGAGACCCTTTACGAGATCAACAAAAACTTCGTCTTGAACCTCCGACCATTCCGCGAAAGGCTTATAAGGAATATAATCCTCATTCCGTTCCTCCCAAAGYAGTGAGAGGACTTGACAATTGACATCCTCGTCGCCAACATRAGTCATTAGCCCTTTGAGCCCTTCAGGATCTCCAAAGAAGGATACTTGACGCTGTAATCGTATCAAGGCCGGGAAAGCTCCTTGGCGATAATGTTTTGCAAAATCTTCGTCAGGTCCGCATATGACGCGGCCAAGTACAGCGTAGATGCACTGGGTAGGATTAGCAGGGACTCTGTCGTCAATAATCTAGCAAATGCTTACTACCAGTCCAAATGAGAACATGTCTGAAGGCTTGTTAAGCTTGCCTTTGAAGTGCGCTTCTGGGCTACGCCAATTGTCATTTCCAACGAGCATTCCTTTGATGAATCTGCCCTTGGGCAAGTAGGCTGCGTTCTCTAGATCGATCAGCTGCACTTGCTCGATGATGATTTCTTCATCGATATCGCGACATTGGACCATGATATTGTCGGGTTTAATGTCTGGTGGAAGTCCGCTATCGCTCTTCTACTGGAAGATGATGTCTTTACCCAGATGAACAACATCTCGTTCGTGCAAGTCGGCTATGGCCTGGAGTGTGGCCCGCAGAACATCTCGTCGGGCCTGCATCGACATCTCCTTCTGCACCAGACGCAGGAAGTCTTCAGTCAGGTATTTGTAGACAAGGACGTGCTGATCTGGTATCTCATCGACTGGAATTCGGAGCAACGGGCTTGGCTGCTTGCTCAATCGTGGTAGTATTAGTTCCTTGAAATGACTGAAGATATTGATGGGAACATCCTTCATCAGGTAGGTGTCCCGTCCAGATCTAGAGGAGTATTAGTCGACGGAAAAAACGGAAGGATAAGTCGCCTACGTACAAGGCTGTCCAGACACGTCCAGCATGTGGTCTCTCTTGGAGAAGATCCTTTGAACGGTAGCGACGTCCCATAGTACCAACAAGCTCGCTAGGCAAAGCTGCCATTCTGATACTTGTACGGAGCATTTTGAATCTGGATCCTCGTGATAGAGAGGGTAGAGATTCGGGAGTGAAAAAGTTGAGAGTCGTGGCGTTACCACACTCGGCAGGTTTGCCGATTCTGTTGGTCCATCAAAGTCAATTATATAAACTACATGCGATTTGTTGCCATTAAAAATCGAGAGGAGTCAGTAGGGCTATAGTTTGGTAGAGGSTAGGGTGTTTAGAGGATGATGTACGTAACAATGTGGCGATGCATTAAAGTATAGCACTTCGGCTAAATGAGGTCAGTAGGCACATTCTTGCACCAGCACGTCAGACGTCGCTATTTTCGAGTTGTTCGGCACTACATGTAGTGCTAGAGAGCGTGCACGAGAACACGTCTTTCGACAGTTACGATGACGGGGTTAGTCTTTCTACTTCGCTAATCCTRCGGCAGCCCGGAGTCCCCTACTATCTCGATGCCTTCCGATCCTACAGAGGCAAAGCGTGCTTTACTACTTAGTTCATCTCCCCTTTCGAGATCGGTGAAGCATTGTATCAGACAAGACGCCAATCAAAAGATAGAGAGTGTGAGATCCACCACCTCCTTATACATATTTTGCCTCTAATTTAAGCGAGCAAGAAGCTCGAGGCGGTCTGTATAGCAGACACCTACCATCCCGCCACTGACATACAGCGTGATGCAATCAACAGTACGAGATACCTCCAAGAGAGTGTTGTCTAAAGCCTAATTGCTCAACAACACATCTCTTCTACTTTACACACGTGTCCTCTATATATCGCCTACCCTTAACTCATCCCGATCCCGATGACGGGTAGCAACCATGGTAGTAAGGTAGCAACAATTGGAAGAATGCCCTCGAGTTTATCAATCACCCTGGCCAGTCTACTTTGGTCTCAAATGAGCTTACTCCGGCKTGTTTTGAAAATGATCTAGATAACTCGGTGGTAGGACCTTCTTTATTACAAATCAGACAGCAGGTGGATGTTCTCGAATCTTCAACACAGCGAACGTTCCGCAATGACCGACTTTTTGGTGGAAGAGAGGAAGGTTAGGAGCAAGAGTCACGGATGGAAGGTGGAAGGAGGCATTGGTTCATATCCCCATAATGCTCTTCTTCGATGAAAAGGCCGAGCTTTGATCAACACTGCATAGAGTATCTACATCACCTCGCCATTTCGAATCTGGAATTCCGCTTTTGGACGACTTTCTCTCGTCTTCACGATCATCTGGTATTCACCTCCAAGTCGCCATGAAAGACGGCACAGTACCGATCACTCCACTATCCGCCTCTCTGCTGCACCTCTGCAAGAAACGCAGAGAACTCCTCCTTGGGGTTTTGCTCCCGCTTCAGCCTAGCGAGCAAAGGACACACCACTTTGTGCGTTGCAAAGTCTGCCTTCTGACACGCCGAGTTGCAGTAGTACACCTCCTGGCACTTTGCGCATTTCGAAAGCTTCGTCTTATGTGCGCACGACCCGCACGCCTGGCTGGAGTGCTCCTGTGCACCAGTCGGACGAGTGTGGAAGTCGTAGAGCTTCACCAGACGCTCGGCTTCGATGCGATACTTTTCCGGATGCGAGTCTGCCTTTGTCGATGATATCGTGGTCTTGGCATTGTCATAGGGATTGAATACAAGGCTTGCAAGGGCTTGGGCAAGGTCGTCGACACCAGGCTTGCGATGCGCAATGAGATGGAGAATACTCTTTCGAAGGAGACTCATCTCTCCCTTGTCCCGTCCATGGTCTGGGGACCAAACATTCCGCATGCCGAAGCCTGGGAATAGCTCATCTTCGGCGCTGGATGACATGGTTCGTGAAGCCTCATCGCGGCCGAGAAGGCCAAAATCCCACGGGCAGCCATTGACATAGCCAGTGTCAGGATCGAGGGCATGTTCGATCTGAGTAGCAGCATCACGCATCAGTCCACAGCTGCGGTAGTGTCTAGAGTGAAGGAAGCACGGTCAGTATGTTTTTCAGATGTTGGGGATCAAAGTTGACATACCTGCCCATCGCCGCACGGTCGTTGGCCGAAATTCGAGCACCCAAAGTCATGGCACAGGCACCCAGAATGCAGATGTGGTAGCCCGGACCGTATGGATCACGCAAGAAGCTACGCTCAACCTCGACAGCTCGGCGCTTGAGATCGGTGAAGACACGGGCGAGAATGCCAGTGTTGTCGAGGTGGGCACGAACCTTCAAGGGATCAGAACATAGCTTCTCCAGCATCGAGTAGTCGACTGGCAAGTTTTTGCGAGCCTCCGGTGAGATTTTGGACATGGCGGCAATTCTGATATGTTCGTCCTTACGAGCCGTCCCGCTCATGGTGTCAGGACGCGGCTGCCTGCCTGCCGCACGCTCAAGGTCGGGAAGCCCACATTTCTGGTCCAGATCCTGCACCAGGTCGAGGTCATAGTCGCAACAGAAGAGACTGAGTGCCCAGGCGCCCATCGTGTCTGATGTGATGGTCGGAGTTTGCTGTTTGTCGCGGAGATGAAGTTATTATGGAGTTGTGGTGGGGAGGAGAGAAACAGAGAAAGCGAGTGGGGTGTTAAGAGAGAAGGAGCCGTGGGAGTGGTAGTTGGAGTGCAAGTGCTAGAAAGAAGGAGCCTTGCTGCTGTTTGTCTCAATAAGCAAGAGCGTTGGATGGGATGCAAAGGGAAGGTGCATGATTATGGCGTTTGTGCAACACAGACCAAATTAGTACCTTCCAAGCAGTTCGATGTCGCCAGCGACAGACAATCATCAAATTCGGCATTTCGCATTCGAGCCATTTGGCTCATCTTTCTTTGAAAGAAGCATGGAGCTGCCGGGGCATAAGGTATTGTCAATGCATCGGATCAAGGTTTTCCCGAGACATGATCTTTTCAACAAACTTCGGGATATTGCTGGTGCACACAGTAGTCATTTCGTTGGTGAAGGACGCAGAGACTGTAGAGGCTGTTTGGACTTCAGAGCAGTCGACCTCCGAAGACAATGCTCAAGATCTCCAGCGTCTGTTTGCATCAGAGGATTCTCAGACTCACAGACTGCTTTCGATCATCATCCAGCTCCGGCGTTAGCAACGAATTGATCCTCGCGAGATCATAGCAACAAATAGACATCTAGTTGTTTCTTATCATTCAAATATTTGTGCACAAGGGGTATAGTCCAGTCCAGAAGGCCTCCTAACAGAAACATCAGCACTATTCACTGCTTCACATACCAACTTATACTCACTTCCCTCCCATCAAGACTTCCCGAAAGACGCGAGCACTTCGATAATAATAAATATCAAGTAATTACACGAACCTAGCTAAACCATCGCTACACAATCACACAAACCTAATACGTCGGCTCATCCCGCCAAATCGGCGCCTCTCTCAAATCATCCTGCTTCCATTCCACCTTGCCCTTATCATTAAAAATGGCACCCTTATCAGTCATAGTGAACCCATCGGCCTCAGTCGTCTTCCGAATCTCCTGCTGCGAAATCCCATACTTGTCCTTCGCAATCCATACAATCGGACACTCGGAAATGATGGCTGGGTGAAGGTATGCTTCGTCGTGTTCTTGCGGGGTGTATGCTCGAGGTGAGGAGCCGAGATGAGGTGCGACGTGACCGAGGGCTTTCTGTGCGGCGACGTCGGCGCTGTCGGTGAAGTAGCCCTTGAGGCGGGCCATCATGCTCACTTTTCCAGCTGGGGTGTTTTGAAGTTGTAATTGATCACCTGCCTCGTCGTATTCGTCTCGGGCTATGTGTGGCTGAGTTTGAGAGGTTTGTTCGTAGCCATCCTTKGAAAGATGTCCAGTATTAGACGTGTTCTTCTCAGTATCGTATCCATAGTTGGTAGCTGTCCCCGTGGAATTGATGCTGTTTCCAGGCATATCCAGTTCCATTTTGTCGAGACCACGGCGCAGCCAAATGTGCCAAGCGATGGTTGCGATAAGGAACACAATCATGAGGACCAATGGACCAATGGACTGTTTGCTGGAGGCGACACCGATGGCCAAAAGACCAATCAAGCAGACCTCGGAAAGATAGATACCGACGGTAAGCTGCTGTAGAGCGCGAGCGTAAGATTCACCACGCGTGGACGCAGTTGTACCAAGGGTGAAGATAGTGTTGTAACGGAATGCCAGGTAAAGTAGGAAGAATCCAACAGTGGCGAATCCCAGCACGAGTGGCGCGATCGAGGAGTATGACAGCGCTGCGATGATGGTCAGCATTGGAGTTGTTCACATGTGTGCAAACATTCACTCACCAACAACGCCCAAGTTGGTAAACTTTGGGTAAAGCGCTCCCCATCCCAGACCGGCAAGGTTGGCGTAACGATTGAACAGTTTACGTGGTGTCTTGTCGAGTATTTTACCCAAAAAGAGGGCGAAAAGGAGCGGCACAAGGTTAAGAAACTGCATAGCAGTCGTCATAAGTCCGAAAATGATAAAGTAGGAGATGTAGAAGTTGGACGCTTTGGGCAGGTTGTTCGCAAGAAGCGAGGCCGCTGTTGTAGGGTCGTTGATGATCTGTGTTGCGACCGATGCGGCTCCAGAAGCGAAAGTGGTGACGAGGAAGACCTGAATGACCTGGAATGGGAAATACCATCCTTGCACCTTCATCTGCACGGCGCCTTCCGTTGGCTCAAACATTCTGGCAATGATGTTGCAGACGATGGGCACCAGCAACATCAAAACTGCCAGCAAGACCGCGGGTAGCAGTCCGGTGACCACACCCAGAATCTTGTCAGGGATGGAATTGATGAAGCTCAAGAAAGGAACCTTATCAATGAGGTAGTTGATGTTCGAGATGGCTCCAATGGCAGCGACGGGGATCGACCAAAAGATGCAGAGGAATGCGACGAATGCAGTGCCAGCCGCACTCAAGAGCTTGACTTTCCCGAAAGACTTGATCGTGTTCTTCCAAATTACGTCCTGGGGTGGAGTACCAAGCTCCTTGGGCGTCATCTTCATCTTCTGCTTCGCCTTGTCCTTCTTGTCGATGTGAGTGGCCTGGAATGTTGCCGTTTGGGCCGCCTGTACGGTATCAAACTCAATGAAGCAAGCTCCCTGCACGTGAGAGCGGTCTCCGCGAAGTCTGGACTGCTCGTTTGCGACTTCAGGCGCAAGACGCTGCAATTCCGCTCGTGACCAGTCCACGGTGTCCACTTTCTTGCCAATAGGCAGGAACTTGAGCTTGGGTAGGCGATGCGCCGGACGGTCCTTCTTCTCCACCTCGACGAGTGTGCCCTGCTCTGGGTCGGAACGCTCCTTTACAACGCCCTTTTTCTTCTCCTTCTTCTCCCGCTTCATTTCACGCTTGGTGTGGTTCTGGATCATTTTGATCTCGCCCGTCTCCAACTTTGCGGCAGCCTTGTCCCGATCGTCAACCTTCTCTGCGAGGTCTTCGGGCACGTTGACAAGCCAGATGCTCTTCACACCTGCATATTCCTGTCTGAGATAGTTCTCATTGCGAGCCTCTTCCGGGACGTTCACAAACAGGACGGTCCTTGATGAGATGCGGCTGGACATGTACGGCGAAAGGAAATAACGTTGCCTCAGACGCACGAAGAATTTGGACTCCTTGGTGATCATGAACATGACCCATGAGAGGAAGGCCCATGCGACGAACACTTGGGCGTAGTATCGTGGGCCTGGTGTGATGTGACTAAAGGACAATATGTCCAGTCCGTTGATGTTTGGTGCTGTGCCCGTCGCATTGACCGGGAACAGAACTGGCCAGGTGATGAAGCATCCGATGAGGCACATCATGGCCAGCATTTTGAAGAAGCGAAGCCATAGGTAGTTGTCCAGCGAGGCATGTCCCAACACAAACTCGTCTTTGAGCTGAGTGTACTCCCGACGCCATCCTAGCAGGCCAGCGGTCTGTCGTGGGGAGCGCTGCCAATTGCGCAAAGAACCGATGAATGAGCGAGGTTGGTATACTCGTGCGAGGCGTTTGCGGAAGATGAGGAAGGCTATGAAGATGACAGTGGATATCGCGAGGACTGGAATCAAGGTGGAGACGAGCTGCGATACAGAGGATCCGTCCTGGCGGTTGGAACCTGCATTGCTCTGCGATTCAATTAGAAAGGGATGGGAGAGGCCGTGGTGGAGACACATACTTGTCGCGCATACAGACGCGTGGGGGAGTCCTGTGGAGCCTCCATCTTCGCGTGGAAGAGTGGTGCTGATGCTGAGATCAGTTGGAGATGTCAAAGTAAAAGCAAGCGTTGCACTGCCAGATTTAGTTTGCCCTGACCCAAACGCCCTCCGACGTCAACAGGTTTGACGTTGCCCTGCTGGCCATGATTTCAGGAGTCCAGATCGAAAGCTTAAAAGCTCGTGCAACCGCGCGAACCAGAAATCCGCAATGACGATCTTCCCGGATGAGGTATGTGGCGTAAGGCTTGTGAACTCTCCTGGGACCACATCTTCTTGGCACTCAAACCAGGAGTTCACTTGGCGTGCAACCTGCGAGCCTGTAGAACGCAATAGCCAACATTCGTACGCTTGAAAGACATCACACAGCTGTACTGTGGTGATGGTGCTACTGCAATTTTGAAAGGGCCGCTTCTTTCTCCGATCGACACCAAAACCAAGCTCCATGACGACAGCAGCCCCCATTGGTGATGGTTTCACCACCAAGATCTGGGCCTCCGTTCCTCATTTCCTCGTCGTTGCCTAGGGTGATTGCCTATCATTTTCGCAAGCCCGGGGGTCCAATGTATTCCTGAACGTGGTGTACAGTGTATCTTACTGGTTACACTACCTATCAGGGCCATTGAGTCAGCACTCGGAGTGATGTCCGACTGCTGGTTGTTTGACGATCTTCGCATGTCCAGCAAAACCGGCTTTTTCCCCACATGGCAATGAGTCGGCTTTCGAAAGGTGCTCTAGGTGTGCAGCAGCTTTCACTGCCAAGGAATCTGAGAGCTGTGACCTGAGCACCTTGAGAAGTGAGCTCATCGATGGCTAATGCAGGGAGGAGCCGTGCATCAACCTGACATTGTCAGCACCATGCACGACACCGCTGGGACAATACTCTCTGCATTTGTGCTTGTCATTTCGGCATCCCTGCTGGTTTCAAGAGCCTCATCACTTCCGATGGCTACGTAGTAGTGTAACACGGTGGTTCTGCGACTCTTCAGATGTATCATCTCCTTGGGCGGATTGCTCTGATGACTGACTTCTTCTGCTTTGAGCTTGAGAAGCTCCCTCGTGTTCAAGAGCCGAGATTTTCTGCGCCAACCTGACCACCATTAATGTCTCTGCCGCTATCCCAGCCCTCAAAAAATACGTGCATACCCTCATCCGACCTTTGTTGTCCCCATAGTCACAAAGCAGAATAAAAACAAGCAGGAGAGAGACGGCGGGAAGAGGTTCATCCGAAGTCTGCACAGGTGAGATACCGCTACTAAGTCGATACTGGACTTGCCGTCTTGAAAGAAACTCTTCAAACGATGAACGCTGCGCCTTCTCCAACTGCCTCTCCGCTCAATAACGGACCGCCCTATGCTACCTGTCGAAGCCTTGCTATCTGTCAAATCGCCACGTCCCCACCGTGAAACCTGTCAACACCCAGAAAGTGCGATCGACAGTGAAGCGACGACCAACAATGCAGCACCGAGGTGCGGCTGTAGATGGAGGGCGGCGGAGATGTGTTGATAGCCCGTCACAGCATAGTTCCCCGAGCTCAGCTGCGCACCGGCGCTGGAGTCGGAATCGTGCAGTTCAGCTTTGAAGTAATAATTGCTGCCGGGCGTCAAGGTCACTTTGCTGTTCTCCAATGCCGCGGAGACGTTGGAGGGGTGCCATGTGTAGTGGCCCTCGGGAACGGACAAATTCTGGGCGATGGTGTAGGAAAACCCGGTCCCCTTGGCGGACTGACCCTCGAATGCGAGGTCGAATTGGGAGTACTGAGCATTCTCGGGAGCCCATTGGATGTCAATTGTCGGGGCGGAGAGATTCAGCGCTGTGCCTGGGGTGGGCGTTGTGAAGCTGAATGCAGTGACGACGGGCGCCGCTAGGACCATCCAGGCGGTGAAGACGAGTGAGGTGAGCATATCGGAATTGGGATGATGATGGACTGACAGGAAAAGTGATGATCGGGTGCTGGGGAAGGAGCTTGTTGTTGATATTTGCAAGCAGTGGGCAAGCGCGACCATGCAAGCGCCAGCAGGAGAAGGAGCAGTACCTACCTAGGTAGGTAGGTTTGCTTGCTCGATGGCTTCTGCCGTCACCTGACCTTCCACTTACCTCATACCTCCCCGCACGTTGCTGCTGTTGGTTTGTAGCGTAGTGTAGTTCCATGCCATGCCTTTCGCAACCCGGACATGCAGCAGCGAAGAATCCTCCATGCACGGACCACAACCTAAACTGGCCGGACACCCGGCGCTTACGGTGCGTTTTTACGGAGATTTCTGCAACGAAATATTTTTAGCACACTACGTACGCTTTAGGCCTTCGCGTCCCCACCTCCTTCGAATCTAGCTACACTAAGACGTTAGCGGTATTAATGTAATATTGTACGGAGCATCGCGATATAGCTTTTTACCTACTATGTAGTTATAATACTAGCATCCAATTCTACAAAGTAGTAACTCTTAAAGACCGCTTATATAGTATCTTCTCGTACTACGTATAGAGAGATATAATAAGCAAAGGAAAAGCTTAAACGCGCCCGTATAATAACGAAACTATAGGTTATGCTATAGTATTAAGTCATCCGTTAAGATATAAACGCCGTTTATAACTAAGTGCTTTTAAAACTTCCCGAAACCTCCTTTAACTATCTAGCATATCCTTATTCTTTTATTCTATAACGCTTAGATCGATTTCGCGTACAATTTGCTAGAGGCTAGCTAGCATTATTAGAATAGGACGAAACCTTCGAGATCGTTCGCTTATAGCTACTACTAAGGATACTAGGCTGTTCCCTATTATCTGCTAGAGGTTCGGCCTTAATTTCTAGCTCCTGTTTTACCTAGTAACATATTAGTAGTGCTTTCGGCTTTATATACGGGCTATATACATATAGTAAAGAATTTAGACATCGAAGGCAATAACTCGTTATTACTCTCGTTACTCTTATCGTCTTACGTAGGAGCTTCGGGTCCTCCGACATCGTCCTACGATAGTTAGCGTTTTCCTATTATACGCGTACTACATTATACGGAGCGATAAAGTACATACCTATAGCTCTAGCTTTACTAATAGCTCCTTTACCTCTAGCTTAACCTTAACCTTTACCTTTAGCTCCTTCTTCGGCTTCTCGAGGGCTATAAGTGCTTTCGTAATCTTTACGTTAATGCCGGCCTCGTATAATGTATCTACTTTAGGTTTAGCCTTTAAACGTCGCTTAAAGATAAGGAATACCTTATGCTGCTTCCGAGCGGGGTTACCCTTTATATTAATTTTATTTAGAAAGATACGGCTTAGCTTCCTATCCTTAAACTCGTCTAATAGAGGCTAGATAGGGCTATTACGGTTATTATACGACTAGGTTAGGTACATCCGCGTGTTGTCCTTATACTTAATCTCCTTTATAATTAGTAAATCGGAGCCGAAGTATTTAACTACGGCTGTTATATCTACGATAGCATAGTCTCTAATAGTAATACCTACGGGAGTCCCTAGCATATTATTAGCGATTGTACGGAGTAAGGATAGGTATATAACGCCCTATATACTATTAAGAGCGTTGTTCTTATTTACCTTTCTTCGAGCGTTACTACTTTAGTATCTTATCTAGGTCGTCTATCGTAATATAGTATCTCGCGATAACGATAGTAACTATAAACTTAATTAGTACGGTTACTATCGTTAATGTAGCTATAAGGACCTTATCCTTAGACCTCTTACTCGGTGGCATATTACTAGCGTAGTACTCGTGCTTTAGTAGATTCTTTACCCCTTCCTCTTCGATCTTCGCTTAACGTATCTTCGTAGCCTTTATACCGGTTAGGCGTGCGGTCTATAGAAGGTCGCCGTAGTTGTGCCCTCTAAGAACTTTATCGTCTAATGTCCTAGTATCGTTATTAGAGAGTTCTGTTAGAAAGTGCAGTTATAGAATAGCTATATATCTAACATAATAGAGAGCCAAGTAGCTACAAGGTCACATAACTCTATATAGGGTAAAATCTCTTCTTAGGAGATGGAGACACATCTCTAGATAATTAACTTAATTAACACATTAGTTCCTACTTTTAARTACYKCCTATCGGAGATAGTAAGCTAGTTAAAGATTAAGTTACTCTTGTACTCTACCCCTAAAATCTACGAACCTCCGACTAATATTTAACAGGTTATAAGCCCAGGTTTGCCGAAGGAAAAAGACCTTAACCTTAAAGTAGTAAAGGTTTCTCCTACCTTATAAAGCTAATATAGAAAGGACACTAGTTTCTAGTACCCTATCTTGCACTGCTAGGAGTTTTAATAGCAGGTTAGATAAGAAGAAAACATAGAAGACAGATTAGTTCCTAAGGGTTTAGAACATTTAACTATTAGGACTAAGGGATTATCTAATAGCTATAAGGAGTAGAGGACTCTAAATCTAAAGCCTTAAAACAYAYAYACACCCTTYACTTTACTACTAAAGCCTTAGCAGGACTAAGCTATTTATATACTAAAATAGAGGAAGAGAAGGACAGTTAGACCTATATTAGGATTCTAATCCTAATAAGAGAGAACTAGAAAAGATAGTTTAAACTATAGAGGGACAACCTAGAAGGAAAAGGCATCTTCTACAACATTAAGGGATTAATTAACCTAGACAATTTATTACTCCTTAATCTAGATGCTAGGGTTATAAGAATAGCTAGCTAGCTAAACTTTTAAAAGGAGAATGCTAAGTGCAGATATAAGCTRAGATTAAGAGTTAGCTTAGATAAAGCAGATAAGATTYAATTATTAATAGATAYAAAGATAGCTRCTAAAATGTAGCTCTTCCTCTAGAAGAAGTATAGCAAGGTRCTTATAGYAYATACTATATTAATAGTATAAYAACTTATAAACTTTAGAATAGGAGAGGAAGACATAGTAAGATTAGCYTAGGTAYARATTAGTTTAATAGCAAAGAGGATTRYAGAGGTTAATAAAAGGGAGTTATATATAAAAGAACCTAAAAGGAAAATTAGGATCCTTCTTTTAGTACTCCCTCCTAAGTTTAAATTAACTAAGAATGCAATTATAGCCTAGCTAATGCTTGCTAGGAACTATAAAYAGATCCTACTTATCCTTAAATCTTARGAAGYAAGGGACCTCTATTATAGGGAGGACTTTATAATAGYAGCCTTTAGAAGGATAAGAATATACTTCCTCTACAATAGATAACACTTTATATAAGATTATCTATAGCTAGGAAAGGCAAAGAAAGTAATTAGACCTTAGGAAAATTTCCTATCTAGAAATAGGGATTCTCTAAAGCCTAAAAAGAGAAAGATCTCTAGTAAGAAATACTCCGCCTCTTTATTAAAGAGGGTTAAGAAAAGAAAAGACTCTCTTAAAGAATTTAAGAAGGTAATAGAGGAAATAATTAGAAAAGAGCTTTCTAAATTTAGGAAAATAAGGAAAACTACTAAGAAAGCATTCCTTACTAAACAAGCCTAATCTAGGGAATTATCCCTAACCTTATTAAGTACTACCTTATTCTAATTTAAGGAAGAAACTAATAAGATTATATACTCTTCTTTAGAGGCAAAAGGTAAGTTAACCTCCTTAGAATAGTTACTAGACTCCTATGCCTTATCCTACATAACTAACTAACTACAACTCTTTAGATCTATAATTCCACTTTAAAGGAAGAAATAGATTAAGGTTAGGGGTAGATAGCTATARGCTATATATAAGGGAAAAGCAGTTATAGGAGGCTAGAATAGGAAGAAAATCTTACTTAATAAAGTTTTRTTTATACCTAATTTAGRAGTTAATCTTATTTCTTAGAATTAGTTYAGCTATTAGTATAGTRTTTAACTACCCTAGTTTACTCTAGTATTATAGGATAGARCTCCTRTTATCTAGACTAGAATCYAGAATAGTGTTCTATTTATTTTAGAAGTTTTAGAGTCCCTCTAGGAGAGGGCTCTTATTTTATTAGTAAAAGAAGAAAAGGAAGAAAGTAAGGAAATAGGATTTGCTATAAGGGAGTTACTAAATTAGTAGGAGCTTTAGTACAGAAGATTTAGCTATTTTAGYAAGAATYTTCTTAAGAATGTCTATAAAGTAATAGACTTAAAGGATCTAATCTAACTCTTAGAAGACTATAAGGAAAAGTGTAGAGTCTATGCTCTTATAAAGATAAAGAAATATAAAGGAAAAGTTACTAAAAGAAGACCTTAGGTACTTAAGCTTATGTCCCTAAATATCCGTAGCCCTCTCCTAAAGTCTAGATTAGGATATTAATACTAGCTAGAAATTGTTAACAACTTCTTAAGAAAGAAATAGGGATACCTACTTATTAGCAGAGAGGATACCCTAGCTACTCTAAAAATCTAGAAGCTAAAAGCTAAAAGAAAAACATCTTTAAAATTAAAGACAACAAGATTAGATAATGCACCTAAACTTACTAGTCTACTAAWATAGTAGGAGAAGGATTTAGGAATCCACTTTAATATAATAGATGTATATAACTCTATTTAGAATAGAGTTRTAGAAAGATCTATCTAAATATTAGAAGATGTAGTAAGGGCAATAATTAAAGAATTAGGAATACTAATTAAGTTTTAGCCTAAAGCCCTAGTAGCCTAGTTTAAAATAAGGAACAGGCTGCTAAATAGTCCTAAAGTTAAAGGCTTTAAGCTATTACCTAAAGAAGCATTTATAGGAATTAAGCTAACTATGTATTATCTAAGAGTTTAGGGGTGCTAAGCTATTATATATATAGACCTAAAATCCTAACCTAGATAGGCAAGAAGTAATAAACTTATAAATAGAGGTAAGGATGCAGTATTTATAGGATATATTAAAGGAACATTAAAATCCTAGCTTTTCTAGGATCTAGATATAAGAGCTATAAAACAGCACTTAAATGTAGTATTCTTTAAGGAAAAGAGGGGGGGTAATTTAG